TAGTATATTTCCTGTCGGTTTCCATGTTGCCTTTTTCTGGGACATATCGTGAAAGAACAACTTGCATTTCGCTGGTAGTCCATGCTTTCTTAGATTCTTCCTGCTGCCTCAATGACCACAACAGCTTTAGCATAAGGTAAATGTTATAACTAGTGGCCTAATAAACGAAGCATTACTTCATTTGCATACTTCATATCAGTCGCCATCATCACGACTCTAAAGAGAAACTTAACAAAGTTGACCGCTACTCGATCCCTTCCAAAATCTGACGTCAATACAATTTGAGATTATTCCATGTAATCACATCACCGCCATTCTACTGGTGCAGATAGATAAAGACTTTTACCGCATATCGTCATCTCTTAGCAACGGTAGAGATTCATCGATAGACAACTCCGCTGTCTGTAGAAATAAGATGCCTCAAGGTCAATAAATCTGAATAACATGGATTTATGCAATCGATTATAAGTTGCCAGCAACAGGCGCAATGTAAGGATATGATCAGTGGCGAATTTACATGGCCAAAAGACTTACTTCGTACTTCTCCAGCATTTTCTAATTTACATTACCGCATTTGCCTAACCTTTTCGGTGACCTTCGGACTTCGCAAAGGAGACAAATCCTCTGTAATACTCGGCACCGGACTCACACCGCCTGGTACCCACTCATCCATAAATGCTACTTATTATGTACTTTTTGTTAACCAACTATCTCGATAAAGTTAGTGAGTACCTGCAGTTCAACTTGAGGCTTGACCTTTAACAGCTCTTCGAAATCAAACGAGCCGGCTGCATTACCATTTTTTCTTTACTTATAAACATTTACAATCTCCTTCGTAGCTGATGCATTAACAGTGTAAATTATTTACATATCTCACTTCTTTGCAGCAAAATTGCTGAAGGAGCGGTTGTTCATTTGTGGTACTGTTCACTGATTCGGTTGGCACATATTTGTCCAATCAATGTGCGACATTCGTCATTCGAATATACACATATAAAAGA